TCTCAATTACCTGGATTGCCTTCCTGTATACTACGTAGCTTTCCACAAAAATATATAAGATAAGCCCTAAGAATTGTCTTCAGATTTGAGTTACTTAATTCTATATAGGATTTTTTTTAAAAGACTTCCCATAATGCATAAATTAAAAGCAGAATGCCAACCCTGACACACCAAAATTTCTTAAGGGAAAATCCCAAAATTCATAATCAACTATTTCTGATCCTGAAAAAGAATGTAAAGATGGTGAAAAAAATGTTTAGAGAAAAATGAGGTATTCAAAATATATTTTGTTCTCACTAACAAAACTTCAAAACAACTAAGAAAGCACTGAGATGATACTTCATAGTTTTGAAATTTAAAATAAAAATTCTGATTGCTAAAGACAGCCAGCCAGCCATCTTCAGTAGTTAGAGATGGATTCATTTTTTTGAGATTTACCCAAGCTACACATTGCAGGTAGGAAGTTCCTGAGTGAAAAAAAATCACTGAAATGGTTTTTCTCAACTATAAGCACAAAAGGGTAATGATATTAAAAGCTGAAAGTCAGCATCTACTAGGGTCCATGTGCAGAATAGTAAACACAGGAGCAGCTGACAGAGAGATCACTGCTCCTGACCATAATACCAAATTTTAATTGCCTGACTCCTCCACTTTTTAATAAGGATGTTGTCATACTCATTAAAATATTTTAGAATATTTTCAGTTTCTGGTTCTTAGAAATTTATTCCATAATAGCAATGTTGGGCTTTGGCCTAATGCTGATTTTTATACTCAGTTGCTTGGTATCTGGCCAAAGGGTGTCTTTTCTGCACTTCCAATATATATACTGGCTGAATTGCACTTGAAATCTGGAACTCTGGTCAAGGGTTCTGGACTGAACAGTTATGGGGCTCTTGTTCAGAAATATATCCTTCCTAACTTCTGGCACTTACCGAAAGGCAACACATTTCAGCCCTGGCCATCTAATCATAGAGGAAACTGAGGGCACAAAGGGAACACAGGATGTTGGGAAATGATAAAAGCATTATCCAGGGGAACAAGGAGGAGAATTTAGGCAAAGGCTACCTGTTTAGAGAATTTCTTTCTTAAATCTAGCCAAGCTTACCCAAATCCCATCCAGTACCCTCTCTATTTTCCCAAGCGTTCCAAAACAATAGAAATATCTGATTGAAAGGCTATGAGGAAGTGATATAAATAATACATGAAGTGAACACAGTTAAGAATGGCAGGCGAAAGGCTGGAACATGAATATTCAAAGCCTCAAAGAGCAAATTCCAAATTTGGAAGGATCTTCAGAATTTGGAATAGTCACTCAACAACTATGTACTTGCACACTTGCTGTTTGCTGAGCATTGCTAAAGAAGAAGAATGTAATCTGAAACACGGCATGACAGAAGATACTATGATTCAGCATTTTAACCTTAATAAGACTTTCAACAAAATGAAATTCCTCCTAAAACTACCTTACACAAAATTCATTATTCTTCCTAAATTGCTTACTGACTCACTTACTTAATATATGACTATCTCACAAAGCTCTGAAAGATACTGAGAATGCAACAATTTCATAATATCCTATTAAATAATGGTGCTTCCTATTATTGATCATCTTTATTTCTCATCCTCTTCTTTCCAGAGGAAAGTTACATCAGATAGGATATTAAACAAAGTACAAATTCCAGTTTGCCATTTTTGTCACAATAATGAACACTTTAATCTACAATGAGTCACAAGACCCTGATTTGATTGTCCTACCGGCAGCTGGCAGTGTATCCTTGGGCAATTTACTAACTCTGGGAGCTTGTTTCCTCATCTGTATAATCTAAACACTGTCATCTACCATTCAATGTTGCTTTGAGGATCAAATGAGAAAGTACGAGAAGTCGTCTGTGATAATGTTTACCATCATTAGTAGCAGAACTGTACAAATAACAAAAAGGCATTCCAACAGTTTGGTGGTCTCATCCTTTTTAGGTATCCCTCTGCTTTCTCCAAACATTAATTCTAACATGGGCAATAATATGCAATAGATTTAAATCTCCTTAGGAAGCAGTGTATTCATAATAAAAAAATAAACAAAAAATTATACACAAAAGAGAACAGAACTAAAACTATCAATGTCAGAATGCTAGCAAAGGTAGCTCAAGAATAAATAAAAGTACTACTTTGTAAACCAAGTAGTAAATAGTTTGATGAATGGAATATTATTCAACAATGACAAGGACTGATACAGGGGTGAATTTCAAATGCACCTTGCCAAGCGAAAGAGAATGGACCCCAAAGGCTATATACTGAGAGATTCAATTTATATTAAAATCTGGGGGGAAAAAAACAACAGAAAACAGATAAGCGGTTGCCAGATGTTTGGGAGAAGGCAGCAAGAAAGAATTTCTTGGGATGATGATGTACCTATATTGTTTAACTTTGATGGTTGCAGATGCATGCCTCTATATATTTGTCAAAATCCGTAAGTGAATACCACAAATAATGAATCTTACATGTAAGCTAATAGAAGAGCCCCCAAATAATATTTTAATGATCTTTAAAGGCGTTCACAATGAATCAGTAAATTATGAAGACCATACTAATAAAAAAATATGTATAGAGGAAACTTTGGGTGGTAGGCACGGATTACAGAATTTTTCCTTTTTCTACCAATCAAAAAGGGTCTTACAATGAGTAAGTAATATTTTTGAAGTCAAAGAGACAAAATATTGTTTTTTAAGATTCTAGAGAGGAGCCCTTTTACGAAGATGGCGCCGAAAGCTAAGAAGGAAGCCCCTGCCCCTCCCAAAGCCGAAGCCAAAGCAAAGGCTTTGAAGGCCAAGAAAGCGGTGCTGAAAGGCGTCCACAGTCACAAAAAAAAGAAGATCCGCACATCACCTACGTTCCGACGACCCAAGACTCTGCGTCTCCGAAGGCAGCCCAAATACCCTCGAAAGAGCGCCCCCAGGAGAAACAAGCTTGATCACTATGCCATCATCAAGTTCCCCCTGACTACTGAGTCAGCCATGAAGAAAATAGAAGACAACAACACACTTGTGTTCATTGTGGATGTCAAGGCCAATAAGCACCAGATCAAACAGGCTGTGAAGAAGCTCTATGACATTGATGTAGCCAAGGTCAACACCTTAATCAGGCCTGATGGAGAGAAGAAGGCATACGTTCGGCTGGCCCCTGACTATGATGCTTTGGATGTTGCCAACAAAATTGGGATCATCTAAACTGAGTCCAGCTGGCTAAATCTAAATACAATTTTTTCATGATAAAAAAAAAAAAAAAAAAAGATTCTAGAGAGGTTTGTAAGGACGCTGTAATATGACAACAGTGGGCTTTCAATCGGAAGTTCTTAATGTAGGGTTCCTGGAAGGCACAAAACTACTGAAACAACATCAAAAAATTCTTAGTATTCACATATATACATTTTGGAAGAAGAGTCATATCTTTTAAGATTCCATGAGCCACCAACCATCCCTGAATCTTGTTCCTGGTCAAGAACTAATGCTTGGTACAACTATATTTCTTGGGGCTACATTGATATTAAGAACACAGACCTCATATTAGACAGTTGGGAGTTTTTAAGAGGGTCATTCATTCCCAAAAGGCCTGAATATGAATTAGGTTTCAACTGCCAAATGGTACATGCCAGTTTCATAAGAATTGTTTCAGGCTGCTGACAAGCAGAAAAACACCGAAGTCATAAACTCCCCATTGTTAAGGGCGAGAATTCTAACAGCAATTCATAAAACAGTCATAGAGTGAGTGGGATCAGGTACCCTTCTGTCACATGACTATCTTTGCAATCTTTGGGAGATTTTTAATTTCTCTGGGAGAAAAGGGAAACTGTAACCACCAGTTAGACTCTAGCTTTAGAGCAACTGAACATGGACAGGATGGGTTTCAGTCACATGCATGTTTACTTTTACCACATTCCTCGCAGTTTGTTCTACCAATTCATTTCTCCAAGGGTCACTCCAAGCACAACCTCAACTTCTCTCAGCGAGCTAGTGGAAAACTACTCTCAGCGGGGACTAAAACTGGTTCATGTTTGGTGAAAATTAAATAGCAATTTAAAATTAGAAATAAATTGAATGAATTCAAGTTCTGACAAATGCATATGAATGAATCCAGTAGAACGTGAAAATTCACTCACCATGAACATACAAAAAGCCAAAAATGCTAAGCAGTGTGTGAAACATCCCCTACAAATATAAAAGTTACAAACCATGATGGTATATCTTCTAGGGAAACAGGTAATTCTGGTATCACTGAACAAACATTCCCATCCCAAACCAACTTCTGTTAGCATCGTGTACAGCGGGGCCTCAGTTGCCTCTGCTAAGACCACTCTGCTCTCAGAGTCAGCCTCCTTATAAAAGCAGATCATTTCCAGTGGGCTAGTTTTAAATAAATTGTCCATTAAAAAAAACCACAATAAATATGTTTTTTCAATAAAAATGTTTTATAAATAATAATGCAATATATTATTATTATTATAAATAAAATAAATAAATTATAATTATTATAAATAAAAATGCAATAAAAATGTTTTCTTCCTCATTTTCTCTTGCTCCCTCCTGCCAGTATTTTAAACACCAATGATTAAAGGGGAAGGGAGGGGAGGAGAGATAAAAGACATTACTTTGGAAATAGGTGGTTCTTCAAAGTTAATAATAGAGTTAGCAAATAATTCCAATCCTAGGTATACACCCAAGAGAAATGGAAATACGTTTCCACACAAGAACTTACACACAAACAAAACCTGTATGTAGCAGTATTATTCATAATAGCCCCAAAGTCTGAACAACCCAAATTTTCTAACAAATGATAAATGGATAAATAAAATGTAGGATATCCATACAATGAAATGTCACTCATTAATGAAAGAAATGAAATGCAGTAGCCTTCATCCACGGTTTCAGTTCCCTGCAGCAAACGATGGGCTGGAAGTAGACGATCTCCTTCTGACACACTGTCAGGTCCATGAAGCCTAGCGCTATGTCACAATGCCTACGTCATTCCTTTCACTGCATTTCATCACGTAGGCATTCCGTGATCTCACATCATCACAAGAATAAGGGTGAGTCCAGTGTAATAAGCCTTAACTTCTACCATAATATAATGTTGGAAATGTTCTACTTTATTGTTATTAATATTTTATTGTGACTATTTATAAATTAAGCTTGATCACAGGTATATATAAGAAAAAATAGTATATGTAGGGTTTGGTACTATCCACAGTTTCAGGTATCCATGGGTGGTCTTGGAACATACTGCCAGTGGATAAGGGAGAACACCACTACACACACACACACACACACACACACACACACACACGCGTCCCTACATTATTGACCCTATTAATCTGGAGATACTTTAGGAGCAGTAACCTTTGTATTTCTCTTTGTAACACTCAAAGCCCCTTATCATGAGCACTTTGCACACAGTAAGCACTGAGAAAATATTTGTTACAAAAATATAATGTAGAAGTTAACTGTGGTCCTAGATTCCTGGACCAAGTGAGACGACCAATATATATTTCCCCTTAAGATATGTATTAGAAGACATTCAGAGGTTTTAAATTTCAGCTTCTATATTTGTAGACAATTCTTCGTCATAGTCTTTCCAAGGTTAAAACTGTAAGCAATATATATGTCCCTACACAGACCTCATGAAATATTTTACCCTATTTTTTCAATTTTGTGAATATTCTGGGGTTGTGTTGAAATATATCTAAAATACTTTAAAAAGCACATCCCTTTGCTCTGAATAAATGAGAAGCTCATAACCATATGCTGCACTCTTAAATATTTTATTTGCTAATAAGTAACTTCTCTATAAGGAATTTTTCTTCTATGGTCTTTATCTGAATTATAAACAAGGGAAAAGGTAGGCCAGTCAGCACAAATATCTGAAAAGCACAAATACAGGTAATTCTAATACAAAGGAAGAAAGGATACATGTCCTGCAGGAGAATCTGTAATTGAAATGCTACAGAAGCTCAGCCAACAAACGGAAGGCCTGCTCTGGCACTAGGAGGGGATAGTGGTGGTGGCAGATGTTAAGGAAAGTTTTATGAAGAGCGTCGTTTAAGTTATGCTCAGGCTAAATAAGGAATGGAACATGTAAAGGACATGAAGAAGGCCATTTCAGGTGAAGGCATAACATCAGCAAAGACAAGGCCATCAACTGTGTAGGCAGGTAAAAGGTCAGTCCTAGAAAAGTAACCAGAACAAGGTACTTCCCCACTGTCCTTCAAGCAGATGCAGCCCCCTGCCAGAGTGCACGGCCTGCGAAGCAGAAGACCACTTTTAGCTCCCGCTGAACCCCCTCAGCCAGGCATTCTCCCTGACAATTAACAACCAAATGGGGGAGGAAGGGATCGGGCTTGTGTGGGAAGAACGTACAGGGGCAGTGGTGGTGGTGACCAGGCAACTTCTGTTAAATCTTGGGTCATCCACACTCACTATGTGCCCTGACTGTACCAAAGCTTTACTATGTGGGGATTAATATGGTATTAATAATTAAGTAATCATAATGAGGAAGTAAGTATAAAGTACCTTATACCAAGCTTAGCCAATGCAGGCACTCAATAAATGACACAAAGTAGTTGTTTTGGCAGAAGGGAAGCCGAGGAATGTAAATTATTCTAGGAAGGTAGACAGGCCTGGGATCCGGGGCTAATGTGTCTTTGGACTACTAAGGGGGTAAAAATATCTGTATTAGGTAGCTATTTTTTAGCCAGGTAAAGTTTAGGATTACAAAATAATTCTCAGTATTGTTGTCTTTATGTTGAAGCAAAACTGCCCAAGTACTTCATTTTATTCTAATATTAAATTACCAATTTGCATTTTCTTTTGTGAAATAATGATAATTATGGTTGTGTGCTTTTATGTGTGCCCAATGGAAAAGTAACCAATAGTGGCAATGCTATGATACCCCTCATTTTCTTTTTAAGTTTTTATTATTTTTATATATTTTATTATATTGTATTTTAATTATATTATTTTACTATTTTTTTTAAAGAGGGGGAGAGAAAAAAGGGCAGGGGAGATGAAGAGAGTATCTTAAGCAAGCTCCATACCCAGCGCAGAGCCCAACATGGGGCTCAATCCCATGACCCTGAGATCATGACCTGAGCCAAAATCAAGGGCTGGATGCTTAACTGAGTGAGCCACCCAGGCTCCCTTCCCTCATTCTCTATTGGTTTTGAAATGCCAAAGTTTGGGAATCAGTATACTCCTGAGATCTCTGTAACTGGTTTTATAACCTACCTAAGGGTCATAAATTTTAGCCCAAGATTACAAACAAATAATGTAACAGATGTCTACTGGAAAAGTCAAATAATTTGTAACCTGATACAGAGGAGGAAAGAAAATAATAAAGGTAGTTCCAGAATAACTGGAGAGAAAGGACTAATAGAGACCAGTTCATCTGTGAGGTTCAGAAACTTAACCAAAGGCAGGTGAAAAGTGAGAATAAAAGAGAGGTTATTAAGGACGTACCCAAAGATAGCAGCTTACAGCTAAAGTTCAGAACACTGTATTCAAGAACATTTGGGAACACCGGAATTTTGGGTGGCCTGCTTACAGACAGGATGATTTAAGAAAAACAAACAAAAGGAAAGACAAAAACCACTAAAAATGCCCACAATTAAGTATGATTATTCCTACGGAGCCAGTCCTCACACTTTATGTCACGTATCACAGTGTGAGGTATGTGCTTCCTCTACAAAATACCCAGAATTATTTGTGTTGATGAGGTCGTCACTCTTTGGCACTGGGATGGGTTTACATGGAACAACTGCCATGACTGTATTTGCTTGAATGCTCATGAGGGTGCTCATGAGGGCAAGTTTCTGATTTTCCCGCCGAACATGTGACTGACATAGGCACTGGGTGACCTCACTCCGTGACTCTCATCCCTCTCGTGCAGCAAGTAATGTATTTTTCAGTTCACTTCCCAGAGACTCTCCTCAACTTTCTATTGGTCAGCACTGCTTTCACACTGTACATGTTGTGAGGGAAGGTGAATTGTGTGCAGGAATGAGAACTGAAGAGCCAAACTCTGATGGGCCCATGTACGTGGAGAACCACTGTCCTAGAGTTGTGGTCCATGGTCTACTAGGAAGCCAAGATGGGTTGTAAACTCATTAAAAAACACAAGATCTCTTTGCTGTTCTTTAAAGGAATGATTAATAATTCCCTGTATTTTTTTTTCATATAGCTCTAAAGGTTATTTACTGGGAAACTATGTAGCCAAATTACTAGGGATTAGTAAAATCTGGTATTCAAAAATTAAGGGTCACTTGATTATCACAGATTTATCCCTCGTCTTAGTTTGAGTAAAATTTTCAATTATTATTTTTCTTCAATTATGAAATCTAGTTTCTTTAGTATTATCATGATCAACTGAGTTTGTTCATTAATTATACAGAGATGATATATGTTTGCGCATTTTGGGGTTTTCCTCAATTTTCTTATACAATGACATGTTACTGGTGATATTCCATCTGTGAGAATATGCACTATTTAAACAACTTGCCATCTACCATCAGTACAGGGTAATAAAGTTGCTATGGTATTTTTAGGTTTACATGGCATACAAATCATATGCAAGCTCATATACTGTGCCCCATTACTGACACTAGTTTATGAATACCTTAGTATCTCTATTCTGCATTTTTGCATTCTGTATGCATATTGTAATGTAATGCTGTTATATGGATGGTTATACTAAAAAAAAAAAAAATTCCTAAAAAACAAAAAATACTATTGGAACTTTTCATTATTTTGAGCTTCTCCAGTTCTTTATTATCATAGGTCATTACAGGTAGGGCAGCGGTTAGGATGAGAACAAAACACAATGGAATCACTGCCTTTCAGCATCAGAATGGCAAGTTAAAGATTAGAAGGGTCTCAAAGAAATATTTGGACCTCCATGTTCACTGCAGCATCATTCACAATAGCCAAGAGGTAGAACCAACATAGATGTCCACTGACAGATCAATGCATCAACAAAATGTGGTATAAACATACAATGGAATACAATCCAGGCTTAATAACTTAGGAAGGACATCCTGACACATGCTACAACACATATTAACCTTGAGGACATTATGCTAAATGAAAAAAGTCAGTCACAAAGGCAAATACTATATGAGTCCACTTATATGCATCAAAATCTTCTGACTCTTCAAGTCAGAAAATTGAATGGTGGATGCCAGGGGATGGGAGAAGAAGGAAAAGAAAAGTCATTGTCCAATGGGTATCCTACCGCAGTTTAGCAAAATGAAAGAGTCGTACAGATCAGTTCCTGACAATGTGTAGGTAGTCAACACTACTGTACACTTAAAAATGGCTAAAATCATAGATTTTTGTACAGTCTATTTTATCACAATTAAAAAAGGTTATTAGGGGCGCCTGGGTGACCCAGTCAATTGAATGTCTGTCTCTTGATTTTGGCTCAGGTCATGCATGACTTCAGGGTCACTGGATCATGTCCTGTGGCCGGCTCCGTGCTCAATAGGGAGTCTGCTCAAGATTCTCTTTTCCTCATCCTCTGCCCCCCTAAAATAAATCTTTTTAAAAAAAGATTATTAGCTAAATTCTCAACTTTATAAATTACAAATATAAGTACAAGCAAATACATGCTGACCTATCGAGTTTAAGCAAATTCCCTAAAATCATAATACAAGTTAACGGCAGAACTAAGCCTAGATCTTTCTGCTTAGTTCTTAGGCAGAACTAAGCCTAGATCTTTCAATCTTCCAGTTGAGGCCAGACAATGCCACTCTCATATAAAAATTACATGTCTACAATGTATTTGGAAAGAGGTAGGCACTCAATAAAATTCTTTCCTTCCCAGCAGAAAGGAAACCGAGATAAGACATCAAGATGGACTTCCTATTCTGAATGGACTTGAACTCCTGAGTAGGCCTCAGTTATAGAACCAGTATGATTTCAAAACAGAATTCAGTGACACTTGTGATAAAGACCACGTATGATAATTGCTTTATCAATAAACTGTAGATTGGGTTTTCCACCTCCGTATCAGACAACTTCCAACTCTGAAACCTGCACAGGTTAGTATTTTAGGACAAGAGAGAAATGGCTAGACAGATACCAATGCATACATTTATCATCACTCACAAGAACACATCACGGGAAATGGGCCTAAACCAATTCCTTCCCAAATAGGACCCAGAGGGAGAAGAGTTAAAAAAACATGCATTGGCAAGAAAAAATGTGAGGGACTACTGCCCTAGAAATCACTAGCTCCAGATACCAGGATGGGGCTACAGGGATTCTTAATTGTGGCTCACTAGTATCTTTGTTCATTTGTTTCACCTTTTAAGAGTACAAGTGGTCAGGCTAGAACTCTTCAAAATGCATCAACAACCAGCAAGAACTGCTTTATAATACTTCTCCTTAGCAGCAGCTATCTTATGTATATGATCTGAAATTAGCAAAAGCTCTCAAAGAGATATTTGTACACAGCAGAATATAATCACAGCAGAATGGATCTCTTACTGAAGTCCTTTTCAATTAACCTGCCTCTTCAAGGTCTGACTCATTTCCTCGGAACTCTCACTAGGGTGGCAGAATGTATACAAACTTTCCAGAACTGATCAGTAAGTGGAGGACTGCTCCAAGGAGGAAATTGATAGAACTTTCTTTTTGGCACTAACGGTTTATTACAAACCACAAAAGAAGAAAAAAACAACTTGGAATTCTGGGCAGCAGGCTGATAACTTTTGTTTTATCTGGAAAAGCTTTACTGAACTTTTTTTTTTTTTAATATTTTATTTATTTGACAGAGATCACAAGTAGACACAGAGGCAGGCACAGAGAGAGAGAGAGAAGCAGGCTCCCTGCTGAGCAGAGAGCCCAATGCGGGACTCGATCCCAGGACCCTGAGATCATGACCCGAGCCGAAGGCAGCGGCTTAACCCACTGAGCCACCCAGGCGCCCCTTTACTGAACTTTTCAAAACAAAGACAGCTGGATAACAAGCCCTGTGCATGTATAGTATCTGAGCATTTTCACTTAAAATGGGACTTAGATGTTTCCTTAACTACTTCCTATTATTCAGAACTACTGGATTTTGGATTAAAATGCTAATCTTTTTTGACATATGCCTGAGATATATTCCTGTGCTATAACAATATTATTAAGCTGAATTATTATTTCCTTCTTATAAAAAGTAATCTAAGTTAGGACATAAACTGTGGTAATTTTATAAGATGTATGTTAAAATCAATATTAATGTGTTACTAAAATATAGAAAGATAATTCCTTTATGTCTGAAAGCTAAATTACAGACCAGCTGCTACATAACATAACATGTAACAAAAAGAAAAACAGTGAATCCTTAATATCCAGTAAGAAATAACATTCTGGGGACGCCTGGGTGGCTCAGTTGGTTAAGCGGCTGCCTTCGGCTCAGGTCATGATCCCAGCGTCCTGGGATCGAGTCCCACATCGGGCTCCTTGCTCAGCGGGGAGCCTGCTTCTCCCTCTGCCTCTGCCTGCCTCTCTGTCTGCCTGTGCTCATGCTCTCTCTCTCTCTAACTAATAAATAAATAAAATCTTTAAAAAAAAAAAAGAAAGAAATAACATTCTGATTTTGGGAAAAACTCATTTAATAAGAGACTAAAGAAAAGTTTTCTGATCTCCTGAGTTTACAATCCAAGGAGAACATACAAAATTTCAGTACATCACAATGGGATTAAAAAAAACAAAAAACAGATTTCAGTATAACACATATTCATATTCTGGAAAAGGTTTCTGAAAAGTATTATACCAGCTTCAGAAAACTCTTATACCTTATAAAATGGTGAATTTTATTGTTCAAGCATTTCTAAGAGCAGTCCCTCTATGCATTCTTTCTAATTAGCCAACTCAAAGTTGTTTCTATTAATCAAAGCAGGTATTTCTAACCTTGGTAGAGTTAAATTACAAACTACCTAAAATTCCATCTTTTTCTTATTTTGAAATCCCCAAGATAGTCATGATCCAAAATAGGACACAGCATAAATGCCAACTACAAATTCGATATTGTAAAAAGTTTCTAGATAGGTGGAAATTTTCACAGAAAAGGAAGGAAGGAAGGGAGGGAAGAAGGAAAGTATGGAAGGAAGGGAGGGAAAAAGGAAAGAAGGAAAGGAGGGAGGGAAGAAGGAAAAGCAGGAAGGGAGGGAAGAAAGAAGGAAGGAAAGAACTCAATAATCTTTATAGTAAATGAAGAGTCTATTCTTCAGATGTAAAGGAATTCCAAATTGCCTCCAAGTTCCCTTAATATTTCATGTGAAGTATTTAATTGAAAAGTCACTTTACTAGAAGTTTTAATTTTTTTAAGTGGTGAAGCATTTTATAAAAGAATACTAATACTAAAGAGTATGCCTAAATGAGGAAAATACCATTTTCTAAGGCATTCTGCATCTTGAATTCTCTTAACTTTGTCACCTCTCCCATGACAATTTGCCAACAAAAGAATTAAATTTTTATTTACAAAAATTAACAAGCCAGTTCTAAGATAAACCATGAAAATATTTTCTTAAATCTGCTTCACTATTCATTTTAGGCTTCTATTTTCAAGTACAGCTGAAATAAATTACAAATTAAAATTAGAAAACTCATGATCTACAGCACATAGTAAGCAATGGCTTATAATCATGAACAGTGACTGATAAAACTCATTTTAAATTATACAGATACATCTTAAATTTTACAAAAGAATCTCCATCTGAAGTGTATGTATGTATAAGAAGATTAAAAATCTCTTACTATCAATTTCCTGCATCTTTACCATCTTCACCTTAAAGACAGTAAGAATGAATTAAGATACTTCAGCTTTACTATAACCTAATTCTCACTATCCCTGCTGGATAGAAAACATCTCAGCACCAACCTATTACCTCCTGTGTGACAACATGACATGTGCAGTCAAGGTGTATTATTCCCATGATCTCATTTACATGCTTTCTTTTTTTTACTGAGACATCAAGTCACTAATCCATGATTTTAATATCCAAATTCGATTTCCATAAAATTCACCTGTGCAGTGAAATCCCTTCAAGAACTGAAATTCCCTATTCTCTCTCGAAACAGTTTGTCACAGTCATTTGTAAGTGAGTTTGAACAGAGATTCAATTAAGATAATCAATTTTCCATTCAGCAAGACAAGAGCAAAGAAAATGTTTTGTTTACACAGGAGAAACATATTTTGAGGAGATGAATACCTGGAAATCACAGCTAACTCATCCAATGCATAAATTTGCATGAAATTTCTTATCTTCTATTACTTTCTCTGTTTGGAAAAAAATAGGTAATCTTGCATATCAATCTCTTAAATATTCTATTTAGCAATCAATACTGCCCTGATGCGGGACTGACAAACAGCAATTTCTGTGTATCATTCAGGTACTAGGCTGAGATTTCAGCCACATACCCATGTATAATTATTTAGAGATAAGGAATTGAGACTACAATCCCTAGTGACCATGTATTTGAAAGACAGTTTATTTTGTGCAGTTTATCAGAAGAATAAGGTAAGTAAATAAGCTACTAACAGAAAAATGATAAAATAAATGTTCCAGTGCATTTTCCTAAAGGTTTGGGGAATATGAATAGAAAAACCAATATAATTATTTAAAGGTTAAAATTTATAGGTTAAAAAAATGTAGAACATAAATATTGGTCTAATGAGCAAATCAACAAATGGATGAAAATGTGTTAGAATTTCACATTTTACAGATAAGAAAACAGAATTAAAGAATTTAGATATAGTCAGTGGTAGAGACAGAAGACAAATCTTTGGATTTTAACACAAAATTAATGAAAAATTTTTCCACAAAGACAATTTAATCAAGCATCTCTGTCTTTCACCAATAGAGAACTACCAAATCAGTGATGTTAATAATCTTCAAATCAGTATAAATCCTCACCAATCACTATATCAGAGAGGTCCCGTACGAATTTACGTAACTCTCATGTGCACATAATCTTTTCCTTTCGTTCTTTAGCAAGTATTTAGTGATCATCTACTATATGCCAGTTTAGTGGATGAAAGATATTTATATAGTAAATTACTTTATTAGTGTGTACATATACATACAAAAGGAATCTAAGAGGACCATAAAGACTTCACAGAAAGAGATCTGTCCTGAGGATGAGTTAGAATTCACAGAGCAAATAAAAAGAGAGAGGGGCAGGAAAAACAGCCACTTTCAGTGCAATGAAGGACGGGAGAATAGTGAGATCCTGGCCTAATAAAGTATGCAAGGGCTAGCTTGAGAAGGGCCTGTTCAGCAAATCTGGAATAAATTCACGGATTATATTAATTGTATATTCATAATAAATTCATAAATTATGAGCCCAAAGTTATCAGCCTTGTAAAACTAAGGACTTCTTTGATCATAAAAAAAGAACTGGGGGCTAGTATCCAAGATCTATAAAGAACTTTCCAACTCTGCAGCCAAAAAATAATCCATCAAGAAATGGGCAGAAGACATCATCAGACACTTCTCTAAAGAAGACATACAAATGGCTGACAGACACATGAAAAAATGCTCATCACTTGCCATCAAGAAAATACAAATCAAAACCACAATGAGATACCACCTTATACCAGTCAGAAAGGCTAAAATTAACAAGACAGGGAACAACAAATGTTGGTGAGGATGTGGAGAAAGGGGAACCCTCTCACACTGTTGGTGGGAATGCAAGCTGGTAGAGCCACTCTGAAAAACAGTATGGAGGTTCCTCAAGAAGTTAAAAATAGAGCTACTGTACAACCCAGCAATTGCACTACTGGGTATTTGCCCCGAAGATACAAATGTAGTGAAAAGAAGGGGCATGTGCACCCCAATGTTCATAGCAGCAATGTTCACAATAGCCAAACTGTGGAAGAAGCCAAGATGTCCTTCAACAGACGAATGGATAAAGATATGGCTCATATATACAATGGAATATTACTCAGCCATCAGAAAGAATGAAT